TATAATTGTTCATTGTTGAGAACGACCTTTGTCAAACGAAATATCTTGTAAAATATCAATCACATCTGTTATTTTATTGTTCAGTAACTTAATGTCGTAAATTACGATAGTTAAGGCATTCTTTATTCTAAATACCATTCCATCACCTTAGGTGTAAGGTCGTTATCAGTGATATCTCATCTTATTTCTTGCGTCACTGTCTCAAGAAAAATCTAACTGTTTACATGTATTAAGCTTCTCATCTCATATTGTTAATTACTAGCAGTCAAATTAAAATGAATGGCTAGTGTAACACCAGTTACTGATTATGATAACTTCCTACCACAGGATAAGTTCAGGAGACTTCTTGTAATCCCTAAACTAATAATTACTTATGGATTATTAATCACCAGATTTCATGCCTTCATCAAAATCAAATCTACACAAATGAAAACATATACGAGTGCGTAAAAAATATTTTGCTAACCCCGATGCCTATTTAAATCTTCGATAGATAACAGTTTAGACACATTGAAGTGCTAAGTCTTAACATACCATTGTGATATGATTTTTTATTCGTTCTAAGTGACTTCCTAATCGATAATTGAAGTATCTAGTCAGATACACATATTTCTTACCAAAGTGATATAGTCTCATGTTTACCTGCATTTTTGATATTTTCTATGAAATTGAGTTGTCTTCAAGCACTGAGGTTGATTTTTGTTCGCCACATAAATTCTGCTTAGTTTTTTAGATGCTCGAGTTTTTCAATTGAGTCTTGTTGCAACTAATTTTATCAGGATATCTGCCACTGATCTATCTATTTGGCTGCTTTGTAAAAATAATCTAGAATGTATGACCGGCATATTACGTTGTTTTATTGATAGATAATTGAATAACCATAAAATACTTATATCTACGGCTGTTTTCGACAATACGCTGAAACCTGTCATAGAAATAGAATTTTTAAAACTTTAAATGTTGAGGTGGTATATCTTTGGATGCTAATTTTGTGTTTAAAGTTCACGAGGTACTGGCTGAGATCGATCTCAGCCATCCAAACATATTAATTGTTTGTTTCCTTTTAAATATTCACTTTTGATAATAACGATTATTGTTTATTCTTTCTTTCAAATCAACATTAGTAGTTTTGTTTTGACTTACTTGCTTGTTAATTTTTTACTGCGTTAATATTAAGTATGACATGATATATATATATATATATATATATATATATATATATATATATATATACCCCGGTAACACAAGGGGGTGAAGTTGTTAGACCAAATTGCAGAATAGTCGAGGTAGTAACAGTATCAGTGGTAATTGGAAATTTTAGACATCGAACGTGTGACTCAAAAAGAAATTATAAATTAGCAAAATGAAAACAAGAAAAGAGCTATGAGGAATTGAGAATTTCAAAATTTGGAGAAAGCAAAGAATGAATGCACTTGCACCATTGCAAACAATTTTGACCCACGTCATTGAAAGTCTAACTATTAGTTAATCACACGGACCCCAACCAGGTAGTCTGTATTTATTCATTTGTTATTGACTTCGTAAACTAGTGTCATGTTTTGTTTTGGCCGCCTCGAGCTGTTTCCCAACCTGTTCCTGTACCAGAAAACATCGCCCTTCGGGGTAGGCGGTGGTCGAATATATGTGATGCATGTCTTAACAACCTCAGTTGATGAAGATTTGCTACCTCACCAACCGATTTCCTACCTAGTGCTTTATTTCTAACCCTGGCGTTGCTTACTCTGTAGTCCCAAGGTGTACGAGCAATGTTTCGAAGACACCCATGACCGAATATTGGGGTTGACCTTTTCCTAGCCCCTTCTGTTTTGAGAAGACAGAATTGCTGCAATGCTGGTTGTCTGAAGGAAACACCTTACTACTGTCACATTCATCTACAGTCAGAAGTATGACGTCACCCTCAAACTTAAGCTGGTGCTTTTAGTTTTACCGTTCTCCAACCGACATGCCTGGGTTGGTAGGACCTAAAGAAGCATGTGTTCCAGCCAATATTGCTAGGTCGAGTCATCACAATGGACAAATCCGATCACCACTTCAAGATAGCATCTACGGTCGGGTCGTGTCTAATGTTTGTTAGACTGATTGGAATCTTATTCTCTATCAGAAATATGCCTGAATCATCTGAGTTTAAAATGAATTCATTATGATCATTTATTTACTTTTCATGCATAATTGTTCATTTTGGTTTTCATTATATAATACTTTCAATCAATGTAATACGCATGTATGTTGCTTCCAGATACTTTGTATGGATAAATTTACCCACCTACCAGCAATTACATGGATTCCCTCCAAGAATGGAATTCGTGTGCGTTTTTATTAATGTGCTCGGCAGTTGTATTTATGTATAAATGTCGTCTGTAGGTATTTATTTTCACTGTCATTGTTGTAGAATCTGTTTGCTGTAATTTGTTTTTTTTGTATGTGTTATCGTATATATATCCTTGGTTTATTGATAAGATGTCCTGTTAAGACTATAATTTATGGGCGACCTTTGAGCAACACCAAGGTGATTTGGAGAGTGTCCACCTAATAACTAGGGCAAAATGAGAGTTATAAACTAGTGTGACGATTTAGAATTTTCATTACTAACTGACATCAGCTAAAATGCCGAAACACTATTTAGACAAATAAGTGAATTAATTTCGTGCCAAAATTCAAGACCTGTTATCTTATATATAATTGGTTCGTCCGTAAATTATAGTCTCGCCGATGTCCTTGATGATTGGTAATTCTAATGTAATCTGTGCAATGTGCATATCTTTCCTAGATTTATGTAAGTCTATTGTTGTTGTTTGTGTTGTATCCAGACAAGAAATCGTTGACTATTGTTTGTGCACATTACAATGGTCTTGTTTATTAAGATACACTAACTTCTAATCAAATAATACTTCCCATACTTTTCCTTCCTCTATAGTTTCAGTTTTTCTTTCACGCTCCTTACCTTTTTTTCCTTGTCTTTAAATTCTCATTGTTTTGTGTGGCGTATATATATTTGGTGCCCTCTTATACCAATATTTATGTGTTCAAATAAATAAATTCATGGAAACTAAAATTGATGTGAACTTATCATTCAGTAAACTGTTAAAATATCTTAACGATATATATGTAAACAGTAAAATTTGGATGCTATTCCACTTTAATTTACCTGTTCATGGTGTTCTTAACGGTTTTCTTAATGTAGTATTTTGTCAGATGAGTATTAGACTATACAGTCAGTATGACCTTCATATTTCTGCGATTTCTAAATATTAAGGTAACAATTACAGATATTGTGGTTTATTATCTGCATATGCTCATTAATTTTTAATAATTATGAAAACACAAACCTTTTTGGTTTTCATTAACCTAAAACTAGCTAACCGTTATTAAAAAAATTGATATTGGCTCGGTACAAGTTGAAAAGCAAGGGATCTAAAACTATATCTGAATGCATTGATTTTATTTATAATGATCAGTAGCATTTGATACTAATCAATCAACAATTTAATAAATGAACATAATTTACGACATCATAAGATTAAACTGATATAGTGAACAAATGTAACTAAATTGTCTAAGTTATATAGTTACTTCCTTATAATACTAATCAATATGATTTTCATTCATATATTGAATGCTATCAATCATTTATTCATTAAGTGGAGTAGATAGGTATATTTTGATTATTTATTGTTAAGCAATTCGAGTGTACCCGTATATCTGTCTATATACTTTATCAGTGATATAAACTAAATCTTAAATATGAAGTTAATGATATCATTTTACCCCCCCCCATCCAACATACTTCAATATCTTCTGCCCATTTTCTTAGAAACAAATACATTCTCTAATATAATTGATTCGATGAAAATACATATTTAAGTGCATAGATTATTATAAACTGATTTCTATAAAATTTCAATGTCATGTTTGAAAAACAATTTATATTAATCGATAGGAATATTATTGAAATCATGAACTGATCTAAGTTAGACAACCATTGAAAACCTGGAAACACTAGACGGCTGTTCTATTCTAGTATGGGACTCTCTAACTGTGTGTATCCACGATTCCGCACTCAGGAATCGATTATGAGTCTTCGTGACGAAAGAAATTTATTGTGTTAATGTACAATAAATAAAAGCAATTTGGTGATAAGATTTTTCTACGACATCACTTAGTGAATTTGTACAAATATATCTTAACCAGTTATCGTTGTTCTTCTACAACTTTTTATAACTATTTCAATTGTTACTATCACCCTCATGTTTTTCATTTCTTCTTTATACCTGTCAATTAGACAAGTATCTCTCTCCGACCCATAAATTACACCAGTTTTATTATTCTCTAAACTTTAGGTTGTTACGCAACCCTTTTATGATATTTGAAATCTCCGAATATTGTGTTATGATCTCTTTCTTTTTCGATAGACAAATATGTTTATTAAATCACTATAAATACAATAATTGGTCTTCAATAAGTAAGATTGATGAATCACCTTTATTTTTCAACGAATATTTGTGTTACTCACCACACTAGGAAAAGTATATGTAGCCGTTTCATGTGGAGAAAAATATTAAACCTATCTGCTAGTTTTTATTCTGCTGATTAGTCTTTATCCATTCAAATATCTTTTATATGTTGACGTATCAATTGTATTTGAAAGTACATGTTGAGTCTGAATAGTATCCATAAAGGACACGTCATCTTTGTAAAACCTCAATTGTTAAGTGTAGTTTACCAAATTGTTTTACGAATATAACAGCATATTCGGAAAATACAGTAGGATTCATATTTTAACCTGAATTTGTTGATTTGCCCAATTTCACACTAATTTACTTTGCCTTACGTCTAACTGGTTATTGTGTCTAGCTCAAAACTCAATAAGCACACTAGTTGTGTTTAATTGTTTTAATTGCATGTTCACCTTATTGTTGTGTGCGTATATTTATTTATATTATCTTAACAATAATACAAATTTCTTGCTAACTATTTTCCAGGATGCTATAATTCATTCGACGTATGGACATCCACCAGATGATGGGACTGAATATGTTAGTAATAAATAATACCAAGAAATAATGTGAGATTATTATTATATTCAAAATGCCGTCCATTCGCCGACTTGCAGTGTTGTCGCCATTTCACTTTTTTGTGTATAAATTATTGTACACTGTTTTCATTATTTAGTTAAATTTTTCCTTCATTTTCGCCTGATTGAAACGCTACTTTTTTATTCGTATACTGACACAATTCATGTATCCTATATACAAGAAAAAATGGAAAAGTTAATATTACTGATTATTTCTAATTGCTTTGAAATACAACATTAGTTGATAATTTGTAATTGCTCTCAGTTTTGCATAAGCTATGATTCATTGGTGTTGACGTACACTTTCCAGCTACTATTGTGTGTTGCCTATGACTTACTGTGCGTACTTATAGGTGTCATTTCCTAATCCTCATATTAATCGTCTTAATTATAGGACTTCTCCTTCGTTTGAAGTTTCTGCCACTACTCAATACTAACCTCATTTTCTAAAATTATTACACCACAGTCCCATCGATATTCTTACCTAATCTATACATACAAGTTTTTGTTTATCTTCTTAGAACTAGTTACTCTAAATATATTTCGTCTTTTCTCACTGAAGTTTATATGTAGAGGTGTTTTTACTTCCGTAATTTCTAATTATTCCTATATTAGATTTTCGTGTCAATTATAGCTTTTAATTGAGTCCCTTACTAGCATTTCAAATTTGGGCTACTTTAAGTTTTTAAAAGCCATGTCTTGATTTTGTTGACCAAATAAGTCGCTAAGAAGCTTTTTCTCCAAGAACTAATTCAAACATTTGCGTAGAAAGTGTCGTGTGGGTCCTCAGGTAATGCATGGTCTGGATTTAAGAGTAACTAATCCAAACACCAGAATAAATTGGACTTGGTTCGTGATGTTCCAGTGATCAGAGTCGTAGGAAGTACCGAGCTGAATATACGGTGTCCAACAGCTCAGTTAGATGTCCTCTGGTGTCTGGAGCAACGCAGTTATATTAACCCACCCTTGGAAATATACTATGAATTACCTCCGCAATCATGTACGGTATAAACAGAAAACTAGTCAGTTTTCTGATTATTAGAATGTGCTTAGATTAGGTTCTGCAGTATGGTGCTCATAAAGTAGGAAACTTGGTGTTTTCTTAGGACGAATGTTACTAATGTATACTATATATATATATGTAAGTTTCGATAGGTTGACGTAAAGTATTGTAAGTGCTAGTAGCTCATCTCAGAGCGGTACACAGAAAAAGTGCAATGAATCTCAAGAAGTAGGAAGCTAATTTCCGAACGAGCTGTTATAGAGTGTTTAGCATCATACAAAATGACAGCGTTGTTGGTGGTGGACGTTGATAATATGAGGATAAGTAACGAAAAGTGAAAAACTTTGTAAATACAAGGAAAACACCTCAGAATGTCGAGAATACTGTACCACTATGTACAGAACAGGAAAAATGGAGTACGTTACGGAAAGAATAGGTAGAAATTCAAGTTTGGCACAAATATCTGGGCTGTTTTACGTGGTTTGATTATCTGTGAACGGCTAGGTAGTACTTTTGTCTTGGTATGTCTACTCATTAGTGTACATTTAGTAAAAACCTTACGTTGTTCGCCTGAATAAACTGAACTCAGCATATTTATGTCCACTAAAACTAAGGTTGTGGATGTTAGATATATAGTAGGAAATGAGCTCTGGAAATTTACTTGAAACTTTGATTAACATCAATACTAATACTTCCTCCTGGATGTTTCTGAAGAGAAGATAATACAACTTTACATTTCATGTTTATCTGACTTCATTGTTTAATTTAGTACTGACGTTTAACATGCTTGTCTTGTTTAACGGCCTTATAAATTCTTTCGATTGTTGATGTGGTCACATCTATATAGAGATCTGTGTTCTCTGAGGCGACCAATCTGGTTTTTGTAAAGTGGTCCGGTGAAACCCGTGTAATTTCTTGCAAAGAGTATCGTGGTGAATTGTCACTGCCTCTAAACAAATTGTTTAGGGCACACAAACGTACCAGATTCCCACAATTCCTATGTGTTATGTCGCCGTAAGATGACTTCGTACTCCGTGATGTCCAACTTTACGCTGACTTTTAAGTCCTCCATTAGGATATACGAGTCTTTCCAGTCGGTTTTTCGAAGATGACCTGAAAGACGTAATGAGCCTCATGGTTGTCATTTTTCCGCTGCTATTTTTGCACCCACAAAAGTTTATCTGTTGTAATATTTTCTTTCGTTATTTTCAAAGACGACTTGGTGATCCTGGAGCCATCTTATAAGAGATTCCTATGCTAATTTCGAAAGCATCAGTGAAGGACATAGTATATGGATAGTGTAGGGCCAGTGAAATTCTACTGAGCCCTAGCAAAATCATCCGGCGGTTGGGTCATTGAATATTGAACAAATCGTCGGTTCTCGTTAAGATCAAAAGCAACCAACGCCCATCAGTTAATCGTATGTCATGGACTGGTCCATGCGGCTGTGATTTTCCTTTCACTTGTATCTACTTTAACTAATAATTTCTGTTGTACAGTCTTCAAAGCATCTGTGATATATTGACATATCAATGGGGTAGTCCACGTAAGGTACTGACCACGAGATGTGACTTCGACGTTAGCTGGTTCGTCACAATAGCATTTCTTTCCTTGTTACTGCAACAAAACAAAATGTTTCCTTCTCTAAGTCATTCTTGTCCGCATTTCGGTAGTGGTACACTAGAATCTTAGACCTATTCAATGACGGTAGATTTGACATGATGTAACTATCTAATATATTTAACATCTTGCTCGGAATCTTCATTATTCACCGCACTGGCTCGTCCTATATGATGTAAAGCAATTCTGAATAACATATTTGAGCTAAGGATGGAAGAGTGTATTCAGTAGCGGAACGGATAAATTAGATAGTGATCATGCCTGCAAGGTCGAGCCATGCCATATCGATTAGGTGTGCCTGGATAAACAATACTTGAATTTCTCCAGGAGTTAAATGTTGGACATGAATGTTCTCAGTTATTTTATTTTCGGCTTCGATGATCATGTGTTTGGGGATTAATAACCCTACGTTACTCTCCCATCAAAATCAGCGTCACTTTGGTTCAGTACGAAGTCAAGTTAGGGTTTGTCTTGTGATACAGTTCGGTGATTTTTGCAATTTGTATCCCGTCCACTTCCAACGTCTTTCCATAATTTACTTTTCGGCTGGAAGTCGGTTTGCATTCTCCCACAGTGTGCTGTTGCTGATGGTAATCGGTCAACGGATATTGAGTCTCGTCTACAGAAAATTGCTTATAAATACCTGTTCATATTTGATTATATTTGGGATACTTCTAGAAATTTCAGCCCAACATTGAAGAGCTGTATGTATTTTTGTGTTGAAGTATCTGAAAATCCTATCTTCAATAATTAAGTTATCAGCAAACGCTTTTAACAGAAAGCCACATGTAGCAAGAAGAATTCATTATCAACAGTCTAACATATAATAATAAAATTATCTAATATATGAGAAATTTAACCAAAGACAAATAATAAACTTCCAATCGACCAAGGGTAAGAAACATCAAAGTGAGACTACATTAGTCCTAGAACAATTTTAATATATAGAAAAAAATTGCAAAAATTTGGGTAAGAATAGAAGTATCTGTAGAAATGTGGTCTCCTATTATACCAGTACTGCTCTACTAATAGACCTAATCCTTAAATTGTAGATTTGTCATGATGTAATCTATAATATCTTACGTGGGAGTCACATCATGGTCTACACCAACTAATTGCACCATAACAATCGCCAATACATGATGGAGAAAAAGCTTGGGCTACAGATAGAACAATACATTTAATATGAATAAAAGATATAGAGTAACAATCAACTGGGACCACGCCTGCAAGGCCGGGCCATTCCATCCAATCAACTCGAATGAGTTCAATTCATTGTTCTGCCTTCTCCATCGTTGGGATTTTCCTCGCGTTAAATGTTGAACATCTGTTTTCCCAAGTGTCTCCCGTTCAGCTGGGTCCAATGTCACTACATATTGTCAAACGAGGCACTTAGAATAGATTATATTAGTATTCATTTCATTACAAAATTGTAATAATAATATATTTCAAACAAAGCTGCTGCGTCCCATTCTTACAGGTATGGTCACCAGTGTTCAAGACAGGTGCATGCTCAGTATGGCTGGTAAAAACGACAATAATAAACAGGGAACGTTTCACAGCAAACTGATAATATCAATTTGTCAGCTTAGTATTTGTGTGATGAAACTTTATTAAGTTTATGGTTGAAGTAGATTGAAATCATTGTCATTACTATCAATGATTTATAGTTAGTAACTTCACTTCATATTAATTGTTACTGTAGCGGTAAATAAATCCCCAAAATAAATAGCTCTGTAAGTTTTCGACATTGGAAGCTGACCATATGTTTTAGTGGACTCATCTAGCTGAAGGCGCTCGGTCAGATCACGTGTGGTAACGCCGTGCTCAACATCAACCGAAATCGCTAGCCAGATTAGATCAGAGAATTCCGATATATTGGTCATCACCAAATATACTCTTCCGATCTCCTCGACTCTGTCTTTTGATTTCTCTGGGTGGGAACGAAATACATTAGAAGGTGTTACTGGTAGAAGCGTTGTCAAACACTGAATACCTGTGACATCATCATTTCTATGGTTGTTAGATGGAACATTCACTTCGACTTTAACTACAAGGCATCTAAACTCTTCGTTAAAATCCTAGGGTGGGTTGTAGATATCATAGTTTTTTCTCTACCGTAAGCGTATTTTTAGCAATCTTCCTCTTAATGAGTAGGGCTTGAGAATACTATTTTTAACCACCATCTTATACCCAGGATCTGAACTGTCAGTAAACCTAGACGCATTGAAGTGTAGCGTGGCGTCGAGTTGAGGTTAACTATGAACACCGCTACCAAGAAACACGTGCCAAGTAAATCAGAAGGCGAAGGTTGAACGTAACCAAATTAATACATAAAATCCCCGAGAAGCCAAATATCAGAAAGCAATTAATGGACCAAGTCGAGATATATTTGCCGGCGATTTCGTCGTATCGAAAGGATACCGAGATCGTGGCAGGATACAGGCTTGGTTACAGAACGTAACCGAATTCGCGCGAAGTCACAATCAAAGTGTAAGAATAAGAATGGAAGCACAAAATAGCTGTCATTAGCACAGTCAAACAAAAGCACATTAAAACAAACACTGGTACATTTGGTTATAATAATAGTTGTTTTTATTAAACCAGTCGTGTTCTCGTGATAAATGTGAGTCACTACAGAAGTAGCATTTAGAGTGCTGCGTATAAGAGTGTTATTGTCACTGCCAATTTCATTTCACTTCAAATCTATATGCATATATTCATAGACCAACTAAGTGGCTGGTCTGTGTCGATAGTTGAGGCCTACTCGGGTTGGATGTGAGTAGCTTGACCTCAGAAACTATGTGGCAATCACACATCGAGGTTATTACGTAATGCGGATTACCCTTTTGTTACATTCAGGTACTGTGGCTACTTTAATGGTCAAATAAAAAGAACATAACGATATTATATAAATGTATTAGCAGGAATAAGTTCAAAAAGCCATAGGATTGCGGAATCATGGTCTACTGTGATATCAGTACTGCTCTAATAATAGACCTAATCCTAAAATGGTAGATTTGTTATGATGTAACTGCCTAATCTATCGGATCTTACATGGAAGTCATATCATTGTCTACACTGACTCATTGTATCGTAACAATTATCAATATATTATGAAGAATACATTCAGGCTGGAGATAGAACAGTATGTATAATATGAGTAAAATGCAAGTTGTACAGATCGACCACGCCTGCAAGGCCGAGTCATGACGTCCGACTAATTCGAATTAACTCCACTCATTCTCCCTGCATTTTCTATTGTTGTGTTCTCCTACGCGTTAGATATTGCACATCTGTTTTCCCAGTTGTCTTGTATTCAGCATTGAGGATTGAGTTGTTAGGGCCCAATCCCACTACAGGACCACAACTGAGCGAGACAGCACATAGAGTACAACTGATCGGTGTGCGTTGTTAGTCCTTGACATTGATGAGGATCCGCGAACTGTTCGATATCTAGTGAGGCGAGTGCTTGAAGACTTGTCATTTAAACGACCCTACTTATTCTATGAACACGCAACTGCTGCTTGCTTCAATTCGCCGGAGTAGGAAAGAAAAAAAGTGGTAATAAAGCTTGAAAAAAATTAAAAGAAAATTATTATCAAACGCACACACTTCTTTCATGGAATGGATGGAAAACCATCAGAAATGCTTAATACTGTACATATATTGAACACTAAATAACTGATAAGTAACCCCTCCTTTATTCGTTCTTTTAAGGTACAGATGAGTTCAACTTGAAAAATTACTTAGCTGCAGTTCATAGATACTTCAAAGACTTTATATATTAATTATTTTCTTTTCGTTTCACTACATACAATCAAAATTGCTACTTCACGCGAGCCTTTTAGACGTCACTATAGTAACGCATAAGTTTTGTTTCTTTTTAATCTAGACTCAGTTGTGATCTATATAGCATCCAAAAATTACCTATTCTCGAAATATAAAATTATTAAAAAAAAGAACTTCTAAATATATTTGGAATCAAATCTAGTGCTCATTAGAGTACAGGCGCCTGTATGCGCGTATAAGAGGTGACCTTCCTATTGACTTATAACATCATAAACAGTTTTCATGAACCCCTTTAAATACTTACTTGAACTTAGCACCAACACGAACCTCATGGGTAACACCCAGAAATTTTTGGGCGGAACGACTGTAAGCACACCTTCTTAAGAGTAGTCAAATGAATTCTGGAATTCCAATACGTATTGGTGCTGGTTTCAGCACCGATCGATGCAAGATGAGCTAGTCCAAGCGACTCTCCAGAGGTCCTTTAGGAGGGGCGACATCTCGTTGTAATTTGCTAATTTTATATTATCTTTTGTCGTTGAACATACCTGGGTTCTTACCTGGAGATATCGGTGATCCATTGTTACTAGATATGGAAGCACATTGAGCAAAAGCTTGTTCTATTCTTCCCAGAACCATTTGAATGAACATTTTGTTAAAATTATAACCGGCGGTTATGGTTATAATGTTACTTCAAACATAGAAGTTATTGGAATTAAGCTTCCGGCGCAATATGTTTATGCTGTGTTTCACTACGCTGAAAAACAGTTTAGGGTGTTTTGCACCAAAATAAAGACTGAAAATTATTTTCTTAGGGGGCTTTAGTTTTTGGTGAAGTATTTGACTGAGTAGCAGCTTTCTAGTTCCGTTGAGACCATTTAAATCTAATGACATATCACACACTATAGTGCGTGATTATCATAACAAATGGTTAGAGAAATTAAACGACGTCACCCAAAATCATTTACAATGGCTCAGATGCATCCACTCTTGTCTTCCCTCCAATTTTAGCTTCTGAATTCCTCATAACATAATTTGGTTTTAAATTAATGGTCATTAATTTATATTTTCTCTAATCGTATGTTTGATGTCTAGTTTTTCCCATTACCACTGATACTATTACTACATCTACTATTCTGGGATTTGGCCTGAAAATGTTCCTCCGTGCTACTGGAGTATGGCAGCCTGAACCAGTTAGCTTACGTTTCAAGTTCTAACTATAGAATGCAAAAAACAGATTTCTACCCTTAGTTTATTTTTATCTTAATTTTTCGATCGTTTTTATTATCATAGAAGATTTTTGGTCTTGGAAGAGACAATATTATAATGCACTTAGGCCCCAAGATTATCAGTTATAGTACGTTGTGTCAATATACGAAAGTTTCGTTTTCTATATTAAGCTATAAATGATAGACTCAGGCTTTCTAAACTCCCTTAATAGAAGAGGTTGAAAACGTCTGCCACTAATCTAGTGCAGTCAATTTGAACATGTATGACTGTGTCATCTTTGGTAAGATATGGACTATCTAATTAGGTGCAGTACCCTTGATTACGTATCATATTCTTGGGTAATAAACCCGGAAATTATCTTCCTTTAAGTATTTGAAGTCTTTTGAGAGATGACTATAAGCTGTGAGATCTTTTATAAGCCAACCCATTGTAATTTTTAGTTCTTCGAATGTAATTACTCATAGGTCTTTATGTTCTTGACCTTATAGAGACGGTGTTCTGTTGATAACTTGCTAGTGGCTAGTACTGTGACCAGTGTATAACAGGCCACTACTCCTGGAACCTAACTTCAGGCTTACATTTTAGAGCCGGTGAAGTTAGTCATTAGTTTTCAAACATTTTAGCCACTTGAATATAAAAGCACCGACGATTTATGGTAATGGTAATGCATTAGTACATAATTCAAGAAGTAGATGATCAAACATTATACCTCGCTAACTGCAAAGGCGTTTGGGACTAAATAATCACTTACTTTATGCATAGTTAGTGAGAGTTAAATTTAAAGGTCCCAGGCCATCTGCAGAAGTTTTTAATGGCTTTAATATAGTACCACTAATTTTGTAGTGAATGAGAATACGAGTTGGGACAACTAAATGTATTTAAACGTAAAACTACAGAATCTCTTGGTAAAATCTGAGAACATTACAGTGAATACTTCATTTGCGAAATATTCATCAGTTGTCTCGACATTGTTGTTCCTTCCTTTCCATACTAATCACCCTCTGTCCTCGTTCTCTTCTCTTCGACTTTCTCAATCTTCTGCCGCCATACATTTCACATTTGACTGGTGATACATACTGCTTATATATGTAAACATTAGTAGCACACACAATAATCGTTCTCCACTTTAACAGTTGTTCTTGTAGTGGTTCTGCTCGCCATGCCACTTCTTTTCTGCTGTATGTGCACTCTCTCCGTCAAAATGTCGAGTCTGTGGCGCACTGACCTCGATTGATCCGTTGACCCACTGAGCCATCTGCATCTGATGCTCACCCAGCATCCGCGACATTCAACGCCGACGCAGGCATGTGTGTTCTTATTCTAGTTACGTAATGAAGAGTCATAGGAGTACTTGACTAACAATAACTTGGTAGATCGGGTGCAAACTATTCTCTTTTAAGAACTGTTGGCTTAATGAAGCATCGTTTAAAAATTAAGAAATAAAACCTTCAACGTAATCCACCAGTGATTATATTAAAAACTTTAATTTGTTAGTATTTTTCAATATTTTAAAAGTGCATTTGGATAACTTCAGTATTATAAACCGTAGAACATCCTAAAATAAGGTGTGATTTGCCGACTTCTAAAACCCTTTAAGCTTTAAACTATTAAGTGCTGGGGATATCATTTCTTCCAGCACGTGTACAGTAGCTTTCTATTATCTTGACTACTAATTCCAATAAAATTTTTCTTGCGTCATACTTATATATACGAGGTTGCAAATGGCTTGTTTTTTTGTCAATATATATATATATATATATATATATATATATATATATATATATATATATATCAGGTTTATAACTCATCAGGTTAATCATTCCAATAACAGTCTTAAAATTAGTCTCATTATCTAGATATATTTGCCTTTCTTCTTTTATTATATCTTGGTTAGCATATCATTTTGTATGCCTGATTTCCTGTGTTTATTACTACCTTTTCATCATCCAAGTTTCTTATTTTATACTGACTTATCAAATAACTTAGATTCTCTCTGGTTTGTAAAAGTCAATAAGGTAGAAAAAAATGATTCAGCCATGAATATTTACAACTTCCTGTATATAGTTTCGAATGCTGTTTAAATTATATAAACAAGTATGGTAACAGTAACAGTAACTTGAAAGTAATCGAATCGAAAGCAACGTAGATCCATTTTTCTACATATTAAAAATAAATGTAATCTTCAATTAGTTATACTATTCATTTGCTCCACAAAATATTCTTTAAAAAAAGTGTTTATTTGAAGGGAAACAAAATAAAACTGTAAAGTTAGAATGTAAATGATACAATATAACAAATGATTAAGTATAGTTATTTCTAAACACAAGAAAGTTATTGGGTAAACTGTTATACAATAGTTGTATCAAAAATATATGAAATATTTACAATATTTGGTTACCACTTTAACAACATCATCAAAACGTTTCCAGTTGTAAATTACTTACAAATTCATATTTTAAAATATTTTATTGTTGTTTAGCGGGTATCTTATTTGTTTGTTTTATGTGTTATAGGTTTTGCTAAAAAAAATTTCAAATTCTTTAATCTTTGATCAGGTTGAATATAACTAAAAAGAATGTTAAGAAATATCATGGAGTTTTGATATACCATCGGACTAAAAAACAATTTTTTTCTTTGTTTACATTTGTGATGAAAACCGAGAACACAAATATTATAGAAGTAAGGAAATAGTTAGTAATTTAAATTGTGATAGACTAATGTCAACTATTAAAAAAGAAAATTACCAAATGGCTGTTATCCAAACATTTTAGTAAATTATTCAATGAACTGATGAAAATGTAGAGATGTTTCAATGAAATCGTGTAATCATATACTATCAGATATAACCGTAAATAGCATCATTATCAGAGTCGAATGCTTCCACATATTCAGACAAGAAATCTAAAAGTGTATTTAGTTATTATGATAGCATTCGTTGAATTTAAGTAACTAATGAAAGACAGTCTTACAACAAATAGAAAAAATAAATAACATGTTCTAACATTTTGTGACCTTGATTTTTTCCCATTTCTTACAGAATACCATATCAACTGAGACTTATATTGTTTTTTTTTTAAGACTTTAAATGATTATCATACTATCTGTTAAGATAAAAAATGTTCATTTAAACATTGTTATTCTTAAATTTTGATGATATACTACTAATATTATTTATAGGATATAATGCAAAAGAATGTCAATATTTTACAAACACCTAATGAACAATTAACAAAAAATGAAACAATGATAAATGAATCTATTTTAAATTGTTTAAATGTAATTCAAAAATAACAAATAAAAATTATTAATAATTAAATTTTATTTTAGAAGGATAATTCTATATTTCAAATGTTATGTAAATGTATTGCATTTAGTAGAATGATTTATGAAATAGATGATTGGCATCATGCTCAATATCAATGTTGTTTTGGTTATTTTTATATTAATTGGAAAGGTGAAAGTGAGTTATTTTGTTATTGTTGTTGAAATTCTAGAAAATTAACATTAAATTGTTTCTTACTTACTCATGTTACCTCCATTAGAGAGCTCAGGCCACCAACCAACAATCTCCAACCCACTCTGTCCTGGTCCTTCCTTTCTAGTTTTATCCAAGTGTTGCTCATTCTTCCCGTGTCTGTCTCCATTTCTCGGCGTAATGTGTTCTTTGATCTTCCTCTTTTCCTTTGGTCTTTAGGATTTCATCTAGAGACTTGCCTTGTGATGCAGTTCGGTGCTTTCCTCAATGTGTGTCCGATCCACTTCCAGCGTTTCTTCCTGATTTCTTCCTCTGCTCGAATCTAGTTTGTCCTCTCCCACATTAGGTTGTTGCTTATAGCGTCCGGCCAACGGATCCAAAGTACTTTGCTTAGACAACTGTTGCTATACACTTGTTCTCCAAGTTTCCGCCCCATACAGTAGAACTGTCTTGACATCTGTATTGAAAATTCTGACCTTGGTGTTGGCTTGTGTACAGTTGTTTTGAGTTTCAGATATTCTTCAATTATTGATATATTGCTCTTGCTTTGCCGATCCGCGCCTTCACATCTGCATTAGACCAACCGTGTTCATGAATGATGCTGCCCGAATAAGTAAAGGTTTTTACATCTTCCAAATCTTATCCGTCAAGTGTGATTCGATTGCTGCATGCTGTGTTGTATCGGAGAATCTTGCTTTTCCACATTAAATTATTAGATAATAAATAAAAAAAGTTTCGAATGAAAGTCATTCTTATAAGTTACAATAATCATGAATACAATATTTTAAATATTAGCATTTATAGGACAAAATGAAGTCAAACGGTTTTAAATCTCAACCAGTTTTGTTATTTGTAGGATTAACTACCAATCTTGACATATTCATGCTTTACAGACTACTAGAGCTTATTTAAACAGCACAACATGTCACCCTGCTAAGTTTTACCTTTTGGCTGTTGTCTATGTACTTTGATATTGACCGACTAGATGAAATTACAGTTTTCTGATTACGAGTTTAGTCAACTGTAGCCACAAAATAATAGAATAAAGAGTAAAATCTGACATAGAATTCCAAAATGTGAAGTTGACTGGTTCATGATGTTGTGATCTTGGTACTAATGAGTTAAATAGGTTATAGGCAACATGTCTCACCATATGATTTTAGATGTAAAGACAGGAAGTTGGGAAACTCATTTGTGTTCGCACCAGTCCATCGAAACAAGCCAAAATTTATTATTCACCGGTATCAGGGATTTGAGTCCATGTCATTTTTAATCTGAAGTCCTTAAGATATTAGAAACGATATATGTTTATGTATCTCATGTCCACTTGCCTGTTTAATCTTGTCATTGTCCAACCACTATTTATATGTTCCTTTTCTATAGACGGTTATATCAAGTTAGAACGGTTTAATGTTTCAATGTATTTACCTTTTTTCGTATTTGTTGGCATTTTTAATTAACATTATATAAATAATTATTTTATTCTATTCAGAATATGCTTTACAAGCTGAAAGCCATGCAGAAAACTCCATGAAATTAATATCATTATATTTAAATTCTACTAGTCAGCAAATGAATCAACAGAATTCTGATGATCATGCTAATTTAATTATTCTTTGTATAGTTTTACTGAATTATTATACATTAGCAAAATCAAAAATAATTTTAAAAAAGTAAGTGGTCAACTTATTAAAACAAATGAGATTTTTTTTCTTGAGTCTATAATGTTAAAAAAACAGCAGTAACTTACAAATAATCTTGATGTAGGATCCCTTATATTATGAGCTAGTAGAATCTGAGCATTACTCGTTTTATTTTGACCACCAGAAACTCTAAGAATCCTCTGTTTAATTCCATATAGAGTTGTAATTGGGTGGAGACTGATTAATAATCCAAAATTAATAACCAAACTGTGTTTAGTACTGTACATAAACGACGGTGGTTGTTAACTAATATCAGTTTCTCGCGAAAATTACTCTTAAATAAAGCCTTAAAAGTGAAACAATTCAGTTATTTCATAATCAGTAGTTTCAATTTTAAAATATTCTTTTCTCATCTAAAAGATTTTGAATAATAAACCGAATCACTTTTTACTATAATCTTCCACAACTTCGAGTGCTGAATAATAATTGTAAAACTCATTGATTTCTTAAATCAGATAAGTAGTTAATTCAAATCTGTGACTAGGAAATGGAATCCTGTTGATGTCACAGGTATTCAGTGTTTGACAACGCTTCTACCAGTAACACCTTCTAATATATTTCGTTCCCGCCCAGAGAAATCAAAAGACAGAGTCGAGGAGATCGGAAGAGTATATTTGGCGATGACCAATATATCGGAATTCTCTGATCTAATCTGGCTAGCGATTGCGGTTGATGTTGAGCACGGCGTTACCACACGTGATCTGGTGCAGATGCCTGACCGAGCGCCTTCAGCTAGATGAGTCCACTAAAACATATGGTTAGCATCCAATGTCGAAAACTTAGTGCTATTTATTTTGGGGATTTATTTACCGCTACACTGTAGTTATAAGAACTTTGTTTTACATAAAATCAATTCTAAAAGTTCAAGTAAATAAATCTATTAAATGTACTATATTTGAGAGAAAATTATATAGTCAAGTAATATGTTTATATTTCAATCCCTGTACTGATAAAGTGAAAATCATACAATCAATATTTTATCAATCATTTTATTTGGAAGTCTTCCTAAATAGACTTAATTAAATTAGCATATTCATATTGCTTGACATTTCTAACTATGTTAGATATCCGGAGGTACTAATCAGAAACCAATAAATCTTAGTTTTATACTTAACTGAACTTATATTCATTTACATATTGGAACTCCAAGTATGGTATTTAAAAACCTTACCAGTGAACTATTTAGATTGGTGTGTAATTTTGAGTCAGTTAACGTATTGTTCACTTTACAACCTGAATAAACAGAAGCTCATCAAAATCAAAGATAAATCACTGGTTACTGCTAATTAGTCATCGTATCCTTTATTGTATCTCTGCTAAATAATTACTTTATTAAATAGATTAGCTTCATATATTTCATTGAAACCATGGACCGACCGATGTTAGACCACCACTGACAAACTGTAAGTACCGAACGGCTGTTATGTCATAATATAAGATTCCTCAATAGTGCACGCCTATGACTGTGTACGCGGCACTCAGATCCAAGACCTCCGGTCTCGCACGCGAACGTATATGACCTTTATACCACTGAGCCAGCATCCAACGGTGTTAACGTCTAGTATTTCCAAGTTTTTATTAGTGGTCTAACATTGATCGGTTCATGATTTCAATGAAAGCCAACAAACTTCACAACTCTACACTGATCATATATTCTAGTGACATTTCTTTACTCAACTAAGAATTAATTATGAACATTTCTTAAGTATACAATAATGTTAAATTGAACAGTCTATTTATACATCTTAAGGTTATAAGGTTGATACTAAGTCAGCCTTTATATTATCATATAAAAGTGTTCAACCGCGTATACTAACATTTATTGAAGGTTCAGATATAGGAAGAGTAAATCTTCCTTTGTGTGTTTAAAAACAATCAATTCTAACCCATAATCTACGCTAGTAATACTGATTCATTATTCAAATTAGTTTTCACAAAACGTGCTATATTACTATCTTTGTTTCCTTTCACTTTCCAGTTTGTCTAGTTTGCCTTTTATTTTTCAAATATATAATGTCTTAATAAGCATCATGTCATCAGATTGTTCGAAATATAATCCATAAATTTACCACATCATTGTTATAACTTTAGTCTTCTCATTTATTTACCCTAATATACCTTCATTTATTTTATCAGGACAAAAGATGCGTTCAGTTCAATCAGACAAGCTGAAAAGGCATTAAATAAAGTTGAACAGCTGATTGATTCAATTGAAAAATCTAAAAATAGTTTAGAAAATATTGATAATTATGAAGATAATTCCAAACAATTTGATAGATATTTAGAAAATTATTATCAACAATGGAATCATTGTACTTTAATAAGATTAGATAAAAAATTTTATCCAAATTTGCAAAATTTAAAAGTTTGCATTTATTGTTTGTATGGAAAGTAAGTATTTTACTATACTTAAACTATTTCTATGAATTATGTATATACTAGATGCATTATTATAATATTGTAGTCACTTGACCGATGAGGAAACTTAAACAATTAATACTTGTTTTAGAACTGTCGAATTATATATGGAATTTGGAAGGTCTTGGGTTCGATTCCTTCGTAAGGGATCATAGATGCACACTACTGTGGAGTCCTGTATTAGGAGGAAACGGCCTTTCAGTGCTTTCAGGTTTTCAGTGGTAACTAAACATTGATCTGTTCATGATTTCAATGAAAGTCAATAATCTCTACCATCCTATATTGATAGTTAACACAATCACTATATTTAGACAGTGTTAGCAATTCTGTTTTTGCCAGTTATCTGCGAATTCCTCGTTTAAATACATTTGACAGAAATAAGATGTCGCATGACTTAAGTTAGCTATTTTCTTCCAGAAGATAGAAATTTTAAAAATTTACATAATTTACAATATTTGCTTGAAATAAATAGGCTAAAAATTTATTTCCTTCTAAATGTGTTCAAATGCATAAGGAAAAAAAGATGATAGTTGCGATAAATGAATTTGATTCAAGTGCTTTTCACTGTGAACCGTTTTTTAATGTTCATGAATATTATGTGTACTTTATTTAGAATTGCATTTGAATGTGAAAAATATGTTGTATCTTTTGATCAATATATGCAAGCATTGAAATTCATAGAGAAGACATATGGTCCAGAGAGTAAAGAAACGATATCAGTTTATCACGCACTTGCTCATGTAAGTGTTAGTTTTGATATTAACAACTCACTCGTTTTGATAAAAAGTCAGTTTATTTAGAGAAGTTATGTTGATAGTTCAGTTGTATAGTATTTGCTCTCATACTAGAATTTAATTCAAGTTAATTACGGTATCTCACATTAAGAAGTTGATAGGGATTTGTATTTAGACCTTTCAGTATAGGAAACGTGACAACATAATCCTGGTCTTAAGTAAAATCTCTTCTTTGTCATCGTAAAAAATGAGTGGTTCGTGAATCGGTTTTCATATTCTTTACAAAGAAGTAGTTCAACAGTACATTAGCAAATGAACACTTGTGTAGCATTGAAATATAATGCTAACTCACTTTATCTACTGAAAATCAAAGTTTCGAGGATGGAAAATTAAAAACACAGAAAATGTATTTAAATTATGCTACAAGGACCTTCATTATACATTTCAGTGTATTGATTGAAAGTGGATTGTTGGTTCGTCTTTGTTAGCATCTGCCGTATAAGTCGTTGATTATCTCGATCGCTTCACTGTAACGAGATAAACACTCAAAAGCTTCTTCAGCTACCAATACTTGTTTAGTATCTACAATTTGTTGATCCACCATATTTCAGGATAAATCTAAGTTTCAATGTCTTACGCAGTCAATCACAAGAAAGTAGTATTATCATCTGTAAAATATTGAAAGTTTTAACTTGTTGCTACCAAATCATACGAGTTTTAAATACAAATTTTTAATATCTACTGTATTATTCGACAAATTAGTATGGTCATTTGGTTCGAGACAGCTGAACTTAATTCCAGATTTTACTACGGATTGTTTGAACATAAATTGCTGACCTTTTATGACGCACAAACATTGTCGATTGGAAATATAGTTGGCTGACATCACTTGAAATTTTGCGAAGTAACCTAGGTAAAATCATTAGTTGGAAATCCAAAAAGTTGGTTCTTGTAAAACCATAAATTTAATCATGGTCATTGGTTCTAACATACAGTACATGTCTTTCAAAAATACACAAATCGACCATAAAATTCACTGAAGTTCTATATATTTATGGTACAGAAAACTACAAAATTAAGCTTGTTGGTAATAGATAACTCTTAAAATGTAAGTATTCCTTCTGTGTATGAAATGTCGGGCTAAAATTATATTTAAATGGAGTGGATTTAATTAAAACATCTAAAATCGTACATACAATTTGTGTGGCTTCATATAAATATCGTTTGTTATCTTGATTACGCATTTCTATTCATTCTAATAACTGGGACTTATCACAAATTTACTGAAGAGATAATGGTACAAACTAGAGTTAGTAAGAAAAAAATCAAACTTAGATCCCTAATAATCCTTTTTTAAGTCAATAAATGATATCATTTTGACAGTGAACATGTAAAACAACGTCCTTGTCAGGAAATGCATAGACTTGAAAATATTTTTTAGCCCGTTCGTATATTGTCTTGCTTTAGATTCAGTAAAAAATTAACTCTCTATATATACACCAACCAGAGAAAGCAATTTAATTGAAGTATAAACAATTGATTTGTTATTCTATATTGTCTAAAAATCCCTTTACTTATATTAACAGGTTTCAATTTTCCTACCGTTTCTATTAAGCATCACAAATGATCAATCTAACTTGGTGAATGGGCATCATGAGAAGATTGCTTCGAAACTGATCTTAGTCATAAGTTCCAGTATATTCCAAACTAGGATTTGAAATCAAACTGAAGATGCACACTTCTTCCCTGATTTCACTGTGAACCGAAATTCAAATATACTATTCTCTACATTTCTGTAAACTGTATAGAAAATAATTCATTTCGGTACTGATTGTTTGAACGTTAAGGACTGTAATTGATCAGTCTCTTATTGGCATATGTACGTATTGCCTCGATATTGCATTGATTCACAAGTATTCTAAGCAAAGACGGATAGCAGCTAGCAATGGAATCCTGGACGGGCGTTTCTTCCTATTTGAAACTCATCAGCCAAATGTACCTGCTTCCCTGCATCCAGCTAACGAGTTCCAAATGGGATGAAACGCGTGTCCTGAATCCCACTGCTAGCCACTATCCATCTATACTTATATAGAAAGTAGATTTAAAAAATAGGTATACATTATTATTCAAATCTTGATTAATTATATAGAATTTAATCATTTTGAAATTGATCTATTTATATTCAATGAATTTTGTCCTATAGTTTTCTTGTTTTTTTCCAGATTGAATATCAAAGTAGTGAGGATGATATGGAAAAATCTATAGACTATTTTAAAAAAGCCTATGAAATTTCTAACAAAATGTGAGTTCTTTTATTTTCATTTATTAGGTGGGATAGCTAGCTATATTTTTCTCTTGAAAATATTCCTGGTAAGTTGGCTCAACTTTGTAAATATTTATTTTACCTCAATCTTTATATTTTTTTTCATGTCAACATCGATATAAAAAGGCTTGTTTCATATTTCCGAATATTTTACATATTCAACATACTAGCAGGATATCAAATTGAATGTTGAAAGATAAACTTATAGACTGGAAGATCATTCTGAGTTACTTTGCGATTTTGAAATATGAATGGAAACTGTTGTAACTCGTCTGATATCGTTCACTATCTTTTTGGCAAACAACTGAGTCACACAACACTGATACTACCAATACTTGTTAATTTGGACGGTCTAAGCATGTACTATGTTTATATCTACATTATTCCAAATATGTCATTCAGTCATTATTGTACAGTTGTAGAAAATTCTGCTCGATAGTGTCGGGCTAACAAATACTTAATAACTATAACTGTATGGAATTTTATAAAGTAATTTTTAGGAAACTACACTATCGAACACGGCTAGACATAAAATCTGGAATATATATTCAGGAAGCACCTGACTGAGAACGAATAACGTTGAGTACAGAGTTCTAGGCAAAGTTTGTAAAACAGTTTGTCATTTCCGACATATTCATTATTCTAAGTATTTGGGGAAATGGGTTATGCATGTTTCTAGTTTTAAAAAAAATTATATAACATACCCCAACGTTATTCAAAATTGAACTAATGAACACTGTTTTGAATAAAGTATTACTTTTGACTGTTCATCTCCTTGATTTTGTATTTCCTATTTTAAAGTTTTATCAATGTTAAATTTTCTATCATTATTGAGATTATTTTCTTTTACTTATTCATTCTGTTCATTTCTTTGAGAATTTTTACTTTGATGGGGATTGTGATAAATTAAAAGCTGATTTTTTGGCGTTGGATTATTTTTTTTAAACCTTTAACAATAACTACACTTAGCAAAACACTTTACACAGCTCATTAAAACATATTTTAAGACAATGTGAAAATTACAAGAATAGGAACGTAATGTTAAATTCTTATTCAGACTAATTACTCAATCATTTCCAATGTGTTCTTCATAACTTAGTCAATAATTTTTTATGATCATGATAATATGGTTTTATTATTCTGAAAAATACATATAGTTACTACAAAGAAGAAAGTTTCAGTTCCATGGTTGACCTTATTCGTTCAGTTTATCTACTGTGTACAGTTTACATGAAACTCAATTTAAATTTGGATGATAGTGAGTAACATGCAGTGCTGAATAATATTACATAATCTGCTTATTTTATTTAGATATATTACTAACGTATGTTTGTAATAGAAAATATATGCCAATAAATATTCTATTTTATAATTTGTTTTTCTCAGGAAACATTAAATGTTTGTATTGTAGTATATATATATAATTATTGTGATTAGTATGAAACAAGCCATACTGAAATAATATTCCTCATTCATTCTGATTGAGATATTAAAGAAAACAATATTTATAAAAGTACCAGCGAACAAAACTTGAACTAAATTCAACGTTTCTCTTAGCAATCTGATCCGAGGTTTTTCGATTATCGATAGTTTTGATGATTGATTATATTTTCGTGTGAAAGCTTGAATCAGATTACCGAGTCAAACGTTGGATTTACTTAAAGTTTAATTACTGAGATTTTTACAAATATGATTTTCTTACATTAAATCGACGCTCAATTATTGTGAAACTATTTTGTTTAAATTTAGACGAAATTTTTTATAAATTCTGATTTAGAACATAAAATGTCATACATTTAATTAGAGGATACTAAATTTCGTCTTTGTACTGATTTAACATTAAAATATTGGTAGTATCAATAAAATGTGTATTAATATGTTGTATTATCAAAGAAATAATGTGTTTTATTTATAGTTAGGTGTTCTTTGTTAATCAACTTGTATAGATTTCAAACTATTCAATTATTATAACATCCTTTTAGAGTAAGGATTACAGTCCACTATATTTGGATTAAGTAGGTGTTTTAAAGAGATCCAAATGAGTAACAGAAATGTTTTATATGTAATTTCTGTTTGATGTTAGAAAGATTTAATCCCCCTCTTATTTCGTTAGATATGTAGTAATTAGAAGGTAATTTAATGCAATACTAAACACTAAGTTTTGGCTTACTGACAGTACTCAGTCATTCATCATTTGTACCTTTATCATATTACTAAAACGTATTATTTTTATCTTTTCGTTAAGTGATGCTAAAAAGAATCTGTCAAACATTTTAAATAAAACAGATCAGCTTATTCATTTGTGTCATCAACGAGTAAGTGAACAAGATAAATTTTGATTCAGTGTACGGAAGATTTTCCATTAATCTTTAATAGTAGTCATTAGAACGAAATAAATTATGATAATAACAGATCTAAATATTATTTATTATGGGTTTGTTCACAAAAATTCATCAACTGGAAATCTCAGTAATAAAATATATTCTGGTGACTTGTAGGCAGAACATGTCATTTTCATCTAATGAATATATTATCTATTCCTGTTACTTTCTTTGCTTACGCCTGTTACTCCTAATGGAGCATAGGCCACCGACCATCATTCTTCAACCCACTCTGTCTCGGGCCTTCCTTTCCAATTCCATCCAATTCTTGTTCATTTTTCTCATGTCTATCTCCATTTCCCGGCGTAATGTGTTCTTTGGTCTTCCTCTTTTCCTTTGACCTTGAGGATTCCATGTGAGGGCTTGTCTTGTGACACAGTTGGGTGCTTACCTCAATATGTGTCCTATCCACTTCCATCGCTCCTTCCTGATTTCTTCCTCCACTGGGATCTGGTTTGTTCTCTCCCACAATAGGTTGTCGCTGATAGTGTCTGGTCAACGGATCCGAAGTATTTTGTGTAGAAAGCTGTTAATAAACACTTGTATCTTCTGGATGATGGTAGTGGTAGTTCTCCAGGTTTCCGCCCTAAACAAGAGAACTGTCTTGACATTTGTATTGAAAATCCTGACCTTGGTGTTGGTTGACAATTGTTTTGAGTTCCAGATGTTCTTCAATTGTAAATATGCTGCTCTTGCTTTACCGATCCGCGCTTTCACATCTGCATCAGACCCACAGTGTTCATCAATGATACTGCCCAGATATGTAAAGGTTTGTACAGCTTCCAAATCTTCTCCGTCGACTGTGATTGGATTGGTGCATGCTGTGTTGTATTGGAGAATCTTACTTTTACCTTTGTGTATATGGAGACCTACTGCTGCTGAGGCTGATGCTACACTGGTCGTCTTTTCCTGCATTCGTTGTTGCGTGTGCGATAGAAGGGCCAGATTATCTGCGAAGTCTAGATCGTCCAACTGCACCCTAGATGTCCACTGTATCCTGTGTTTCCCTTCAGATGTTGACGTCTTCATGATCCAGTCGACCACCAGGAGAAAGAGAAAGTGTGAGAGTGAGAAACCGTGCCTGGCACTAGTCTTTTCTTCGAACGAGTCTGTGACCTGTCCTCCATGCACGATTTTGCAGTTTAATCCATCATATGAACTCTGTATGATATTGACTATCTTCTCAGGCACGCCGTAGTGTCGAAGAAGCTTCCATAGTGTTGTTCTGTCCACGCTGTCAAATGCTTTTTCGTAGTCAATGAAGTTGATGTAGAGTGATGAATTCCATTCAATTGATTGTTCCACAATGATCCGTAGAGTTGCGATTTGGTCTGTACACGATCTATCCTTACGGAATCCTGCCTGTTGGTCTCGAAGTTGGGCGTCTACGCAGTCCTTCATTTTGTTTAACAATACCCTGTTGAAGACTTTTCCCGGTATTGAGAGAAGTGTGATGCCCCTGTAGTTATCACAGTTGCTGAGATCGCCTTTCTTTGGTATTTTGACCAGAAGTCCTTCTTTCCAGTCTTTTGGTACTTGTTCCCCATCCCAAATCTTATTGAAGAGAATGTGGGGTATCATTGCAGTTGCCGCTACGTCTGCTTTCAGTGCCTCTGCTGGGATGTTGCCCGGTCCTGCTGCTTTGCCACCCTTGATTTTTCTGATGGCCATGCTGATTTCTTCAATTGTTGATGGGCCAACATTGAGTGGGTGGTCCGTGGGTGTTGCTTCGATGTTGGGTGTGTTCAGTGGAGCTGGTCGATTCAAGTGTTCTTTGAAGTGTTCCACCCACCTGTTTCGTTGTTCTTCAATATTGGTGATTACCTTGCCTTCCTTGCTTTTCACTGTTCTTTCTGGTTTACGGTGATTTCCAGAGAGTTTCTTTGTTACGTCATACAGTTGTCTCATGTTTCCTTCTCTTGCAGCCTTTTTCGCCGTCGTTGCTAAATCTTCCACATATTTATGTTTAGAACAACACATATAAATGAACAATATTGTTTTCGATTTGATCCTCATCAGGCTTTACTTTAATATACAGTAATATTTGTATGCATATACGAAATCATTAAACCAATCAAGGTAGTTTACAAGTCAATGATAACAATGAAAACGATTACATAATAAGTGAAACGTGAAAAGTACAAGTTGATGGTGTGACAAAAGGTGCATCAGTTTTGATAAGAATAATAAAGGCTCAAATCAATGTTACATAATCGGAAATAGGTCAGTGATTAGAAAAATATAGAAACTAAGATAACATTTATAAAATTATGGGATGACGTAATAAGAAATGTTCAGATAATTGGACCATGAAACGTATAGTTGAGACAGAATAAAGTGGTAGGAGGGGGTGAAGAAAAATAATAAACGAAGAGAAAGTTTGAAAAAGAATAAATAAATTCATTTATTTAAGGCAAGGGAAGGGTGTTACAAATTTCTTCTGAACACAAAGACTTGGCTTGTTGGCTCGGATTCCTATAGCTTCTGCTATGTGTAAGAGACGAGATCGAACACCATAAGGGAAACTAGTGGGAATACGATAAATAACTTTGAACGACTTGTTTCTGTCCACTATATGACCGCTATCGATCAAGTGTGATAGAACCGAGCTGCGTATTGTTTTGACGTAACCTTTTCTTAACCACGAAGGGAGGTGTTCACTAACTCGTTGGTTCAGTTGCCTGGTAGTGCGCCCAATATAGCTTTCTCCACAGGAGCAGCTGAATTCGTAGATACACATAGAAGTGTCATAACCAGGTAACTTATCCTTCAATTGCGGAATCACCATCGATCGGGTCGAATACGATAGGCAGAGGTTGGCAGCATTAAACGTTCCCTTTACTGCTCTAGTTTCACTTATTATGTAATCGTTTTCATTGTTATCATTGACTTGTAAACTACCTTGATTGGTTTAATGATTTCGTATATGCCTACAAATATTACTGTATATTACAGTAAAGCCTGATGAGGATCTAATCGAAATCAATATTGTTCGCTTATATATGTTGTTCTAAATTTACAATATGGGAATATTTCAAATATTTACGTTTGTCAGTTCTGATGCTCCTCTTCACTTGCTTGTTTACTTCTGTGTATTCAGCTTGTGCTTTGGCTTTTTCTGCTCTTGTTCGGCTGGTATTGATTGCCGCCTTCTTGTTCGTCCTTTCTTGAATCTTATCCAGTGTATCAACAGTGATCCATTCCTTGTGATGGTGCCTTTTGTGGCCCAGAACCTCATGGCATGTTGAAGTGATTGCCTCTTCGATCCCCTTCCAGTTGCTCTCCATAGTAGTTCATTTCCATTGAGTAGATCATGAAAGCGCTGAGGACTATCTTGAATTTGTTGAGTTTGTCAGTATCCCGAAGAAAGGCCGTATTGAACTTTTGTGGTATTGTCCGTCCCGTTGTTCAGTACTTCTTGAGTTTCAATTTCATCTTCGACACCAGCAAGTGATGATCTGAGGCTATAACAACTCCCCTCTTGGTTCTCACATCCTCACGTCCTCCTGAACTTTTTGTTGATGCAGATATAGTCAATTTGGTTGTGTGTAGTGTGATCCGGTGAAGTCCATGTGGTTTTGTTAATGCGTTTATGTGGAAATATAGTTCCGCCTATGACCAGTTTATTGAAGGCACATAGGTTTGCAAATCTCTCATCATTTTCGTTCCTTTCTTCCAGTCCGTGTCGTCCCATGATGTCTTCATATCCGGTGTTGTCTATCCCAACCTTGGCATTTAAACCTCCCATCAGAATGGTCAGGTCCTTTGTTGTGCACTTCTCGACGATTGACTGCAGCCTATTGTAGAATTGATCTTTAGCGTCTTCATTGTGGTCGTTGGTAGGCGCATAGCATCGGATTACGCTCATTGAAATGCCTTCTTTCTTTGTTTTGAACGAGGCGTTGATGATCCTTGGTCCATGAGATTCCCATCCTATAAGTGCATTTTGTGCTTGTTTGGACAGCATCAATGCAACTCCTTGTGTATGTGGGACATTTTCTTCATCATGGCCGGAGTTTATCAGAAGCTCTCCTGAAGCTAGTCGTTATTGTCCAACTTTCGTCCAACGTGTTTCACTGATCCCAAGCACCCCTCGGTTGTATCTCTTCATTTCTGCAGCAACTTGGAAGACTCTGACGGTCTCCCACATTGTACGAGTATTTCTTGTACGTAAATAACTGGTTGCTCTGGTTGTCAGAAGTAGCATCGGCTTCGTGACTTCCGAAGGAACTCGGATTTCGTCAAGAGGGGTCATAGTTCTTCTAAATGAAGACCTTCTGACTCCCAGGGCAGAGTTTAAAAGGTCTGAATATTTTTTCTGGTTAGCGTTTTTTAGCGAGTTACTTTTCTATGGAATAAGGTCGCTAATCCCACGCCCAACCCTCCTCCTTTATCCGGGCTTGGGACCGGCAGTAGCCCCCGGAGGGACTCCAGTCGGAGTTATCTATTCCTATACCCTAATAATTTTCTTTACTTGGTAAAGTTAACAATAAATCTTTTGATTAAAACACCACTTTAACAGGCATTTTTATGCAGTATATATCGGCCAGAAATATTTTCTAAAGTTGAATAGATACACATATTAGATAGTTTCTGAGGATAACATTCTGATTTACAGTATGATTTTCTATATTCATATCATATAGATTTGTATTTCTTATAATTAACAGCTGAACATCTCCTTGGTGAAATGTTACAAATGTTAAATACTTATAATGAAAAAAACAATCAAAACTCCATTGAATATCATATTGATAATAATTCAAATGAATCTGTCGATCTAATGAGAATAAAAACTAGTTCACTAGATACTGATAATCATCATATCAAATGTCTAACAGATCAATGTTTGAATTCGATTTATGAATACTCTGATGAATATTTTGTAAATTTAATTTGCTCATTACGTTCACTATTAATAAAAATTTATATAAAATCAAGTCGTTTCCAAGTAAGTCAGTTCAATTTCATCATTTTGAATGTTGGAATATGCATATCACGTTGAATTTACATTTTAAAGTTGATGTATTTGAAATTCTTGATCATATTCAAGATGAATTTAATGTGGTTAAAAGAAATTTCACTACAAATTATTAATTATCAGTATAGTGTTGTAGATATTATTAAATTTTTGATTAAGATCATGAACCGATTGATGTTAGACCACATTGAAAACCGTCCAGTGCTTTCAGGTTTTCAATGGTGATCTAACATCAATCGATTCATGATCTCAATCAAAGAGATTATTAATTGTTACATTAATTGTTCATTTTTATTTCGCCAATTCATGAATACCGATGAATATTTCTTTTAAAGGAAACAACAATTCATTGACTTTAAAGATAAGTCTTCCCCAATTGTTTTTCACAATATAACTTATCAACTAATAAGCGATATGAGAAAGTGAAATTCTAGTTAGTAGTTTGAATGTAATATTCAATCATTTTATTTTGAAACGGATTTGTTTACTACAAAGATCAATTACTTGTAAGACAAAGTTAAATCAAAAGTCACTTGCTATCTTTTTCATATAAAATCTATTGAGAATATTTAGTAATTCGAGGAAAACTGTGTTTTAACTGATAATCGGATTCTATAATCTCATGTAATGAGTGAATCACTAAGATAGTATTGTATGAATTACTATTAAAAATTATTCATTACTAACTGTATTCTGTTGGCTTTGATTACTTAAAATAGTTTTGGACAATAAATACAATCCGAAATATTATCCAGTTTATAACACTAACTTTTTCGGTTAAATTGATTCAAAAGAGAAATACACCTTGTTATGATAATTTTGTCTTTCTGAACTAAATGGTTCAATCGCGAAGCTTCTATCATGATCTTAAACAACATTCTCAACGGCTTACTTCACGTAAAAGTGAACCATAATTGTTGAGCTTTTAATGACGTTGCCAGTGGATGGTTGAATTCAGAATTTTTGCCAGAATTATTTATGTCTATGTCCTTATTGAGCTTCGTTTTTTACTTCTTTGCACGTAATTAGTTGATCCATACAGAGTAGGTTGGTTAACAGAGTCTATATCAATCTGCTTTTTCATCACAGGCTGACGTAAGTACCATGATCACTTAAATTCTCTTCAATTCTTTGAATTTTATTGATCTAGAATTGTCATAGCAACCGGATGATTCAACACTTATGGACTAATTAAACACAACACTTCCATTTGAAGTGAGTCCTGATGACCTGTTGTAAAACAACATTGAAAACCAGCTCAGAGAACATAACAAAACCAAAAACATATATCTAAGCCAAGATTCTTTTACATTATTACAAAGCGTTTACTAAATAAACGAAATTACATTTGTAGATGGTGTTTTCGCCGAGACATTTTATTATTTGGATTAGACAACAGGTAGTACTTTTTATAGTTACTGTAGAGCATCTTATTAATGAATGAAGTCATATAGCTCCAAAATTGTAGTAGGAATGTCAAATGTTGCGATGACGTAAGTAACTTTATGGAGATAATCTCATTTTTCCGGGTCTTATGAACATCACTAGTACGTTAATTCGCCAAGACATGTTTTAAAGGTGCTCAAGTAATCAAAATTACTGTGTATGTTATCTGTGTAATAGTTCACAGTATGATTCCTCATGTTGATCTCTACTTTTAATCTTAGCTTATATTCAACAATACTCCAGATGTTCCATTTAGTTATTCGATCGCTAATTCAGTGTCCAACTAGTTTAATGAAGAGTTAGTAGAAGTTAAGAATTTCCAGATGGAGTAGTTATAAACAAAATATCCAAGTGGCTTCGTATATAATTAAAAATGTGTAAATAAAAGAATATAATATTTGTTAATGACGTTTAAATAACACTGAACCGATAAAGTACATTGATATTGCAATTCATTAAAATTTGTTGAACAAATCTTCACAAACTATTTTGTCACGATAAAGTTGTGATAGATTGTTCAGACAAATGGAGAATAATACTATCGACATGAAGCTGTATTGGTTCTGATGTATTCCAAATGTTGAATTCATTCTTATTAAAAAAGGTTTTAGAACAATTTGAGGCGTTCTAAACTAACTGATACAGAATCGAAAGATTATGAAATTCTTTCAGGGTTTTTCTGAAGGAAACTGAAAACCATACATTCACATCATAATAATAAGGGGTTAACTTTTTTTGATATCATGTACTTTTGTTGACGTTGTGTTATGTGAATCTGTAACGGTTTGTTTGTACAACATTGTAGTATCAGAGTCTACTTTAACAATCCGTATTTTTACACGCCTACGTGATTTATTCCAACCTTTGGATAGATGGATTATTCTGTTCTTTTTTTAGTCATTTTGTTCTTTATATTTGTGACCTTGAGAATGTGTGTATGCTAGTAGAGATGTGTTTATGTACTTGTCCCTTTTTCATAGTGAGTCACTTGTGATTTGTTGAGTAGTTCATCTAGTCATCTATCTGCAAACAAACGCATGAAATATGTGTATCTAATATATTCGTTTTTTTCAACTTTTGACATAGCCTTGGTTTAAAATTGTTGAGTCATCAGAATATATGGTACGACAAGTAAAGTATTTACATTTCTTTAACATCATTATCGTCCTACCATTGTTGAGTCAAGTGGACAATAAATTACTTATGTTGTTCAGAATGGCTATAGGATTTTCATAATCAAACTATCTAACTGAGAGAATACAACACCAACAGAACATTCTTCTGAACTACATCTCTTCTCAATCATTTCATATTACAAAAATTTATATTAAGAGCTGTTTTGTATAGAAATTCTAATTATCAGTTATGGAGTAACTGTGTTAAATAAGAAAGATTAATCAATTAATGACTGAAATAACTTAATTTTGAAACTTGACAATTTAGCTGAATTAATATTAATTTCATTATTGGATCATATTCACGAACAAAGCATATTTTAATAAGATATGCTGTTACTACTGAATATTGTTCTCATTCATGTATATAACTTTATTTTCAATGAGAATATTCAGAACGAATACATACAAAGTATAGTTTTTAATTTATAAGTATTCACTTTAAAGCAATTAATCCCTTTGATAAGTTTCACTAGTGTAATAAGAAGATGATATAGTTCTGATAATCTTCATCTTCTTATTCACTTTAAATCTGTAATGTTTGCTCGTCATTATGCAACAACTCCTATACATTTTTAGTACTTTGATGTAAATTACTTCATGAATTTTTGGACGATGTTTATTGCGTATTTATTACTAAAAAACACTTACTCTATCCCATGTGAAACAGAAGTGAATGTAAGCACAAACAATTAATCGATAATTGTGATTTGACCTTGTTAAAAAAGCATAAACACTAAACTAGAATATAATTTTGTAATTTAATTTATCATGAAAAATAGTCAACTGTTTTTATTTTCTTTACGATCGAGATGAACCATCTGGATTAAGCGAATTTTTCTTGGTATTTATATGATTATTATTATTGTTATGACTTTATGTCCGGCTTTTTATCACATGATTTATCCACCAATCAAAATACAACTTATACAATCTTAGCACTGTGCCAAACCAATGACGTTCGACTAGTATGAGCAGCCTAGCGTCCTTATTGGTCCTATGTTCGCCTAGCCCGTCCACTTGAGTCCAGAACACTAGTACAGCTTCCACTATGTGAACCGAATCTAATCGAATCATTTGTTTCAGACATACTGGGTTTATATATCAAACAAACATGCCGCAACGCACCATAAAATAGGAAATAACATTTGTACACAATAAAGCCAAAAAGTGACTGTGAACGTGAGAGGCAGTAGTCAATAAACTGAACATAGATTAAGAACAGTAAATCGTACAATAATAATATATAGGTCACAATAAAGCTTATAACAAGGGGAATATAGATATACATAATCTGGTTACTGAATATTTATACCATGAGAATATATAAATAATATTAGTCCATTAATAGGTCTCAGATGTGACTTGTAATCTTCACTAGGATATAACAACTATTATTATGTAACTACGACTTTTATTGATGTAAAAAGAAATCCAATTTTATTTTTGAATTAATATTTCAGTTATGTAATTTTAGGAAGCCTTAAAATTATTAGAAGAAAATTTAAATATTCAAGAAGACACATTTGGAATGTACAGTACACAAGTAATAAAGACACATAAACTAATCTTGTCAATAAACATGGTTCAAGAAAATTTCGCTGAAGCATTTAATCAAGCTGAAATGGTATGTACAAAATACTTTAGTTTGACCTGAATATTCACTATTTTATTCTTGGTAGAAATAATAGTTTATCTAGAGAATTCATTAATTATTCCATATTCTTTGACCAGAAAATTTAAACTATGGAACGTTCAATGTTTTTCTAGTAAAAGGAAGTAAGATGAACGGCTAAAAAAACTCAGCTATTTGAAATGTTTTATAATTAATCAGCTTGATAATCTGATACGTGACTGATAGTATTTAGTCGATATAATACAATTATGGGTCACCAATTATATTGAATAATGGTCAAAAAATGACTAGGGAAGATGTACTTACAAAACGCAAGCGAAATGTAGGAAAATACTAACATTAACGTCCTTTTTAACGTAATTAAAGTAAGTTGTTGACGGTAGATTCGTGCTTGACATCTGAATGTTAAATGGAAGACATGAGTTTCAGGTAACTACTAATGTTCGTACTCTGCATGTACCCATAACGAGTGCATTGTGCACAATGTAAAGATACCATTATAAAGATATATTGAATCTCTTGCTTTTTAAAACACTATACATATATAATGAAAACATCGGGTTAAACATCCTGTCAAAAAATTAGACAACCGAATCTCAAAGACTTTAAACAAGCTAGTCAAAGCAGAAGAAATAACAAAACAAGACCAATGAAGAATGAAACCCAATGGACCAGTACTCCCTCGATTCTACGGCAGACCGAAAATATACAAACCAAACATTCCACTACGTCCAATTGTAGCACTCCCCGGAATAGCAACATACAATTTGTCAAAAGAAATTCCACGAATACTGAAACATTTAGTAGATTCATCCAACCACTCCATCAAATCCCTCACACAATTCCTGGACCAAATTAAGGATATTCAAATCAACAATGACGAACTCATGATATCCTTCGACGTAACAGCACTGTTCACCTCAATTGAACCACAGTTAGCAAAAGAAACTATATCCCTGCTGATCAACAACGACACAAATCTCACTAAATACACGAAGCTTCAAATTCAAAGTCTACTGGAACTCATCGACTTATGCTTAACAACATATTTTCAATTCAACAATAAAATCTTCGAACAAACGAAAGGGACACCAATGGGATCACCAATATCGAGACTGATCGCAGAGGCAGTGATGCAAATACTAGAAACCACAATATTACCAGTGATCAAGCCAAAAATTTGGATTCGCTACGTGGACGACACATTCATCATCGTCAAAAAGAATGAACTGGAAAACACTTACAAACTGATCAACAACGTTTTCAATGACATCAAGTTAACAATGGAACAGGAGTCAAACAACCAACTAGCATTCTTGGATATATTGATCACTAGAACCGACACAGGAAAACTGGAAACTCAAGTGTATAGAGAAAGACCCATACAGATCAAATTGTCAACTACAATAGCAACAACTCCAAGAGCTCACAAAATCAACTGCGTACACACTTTGTTCAAAAAGGCGAGGGAACACTGCAGCACATTGACAGTACGAAAAAATGAAGAGAAATACCTGAAGGATGTATTTCAAAAGAACGGCTACCCAACCAACTTCACCAAGAAATACCAACCACACGCAGCATCAGACCTAAGTCAAGCACAGAAATCAACAAAACGATCGCCCTACCATACATAAAAGGCATATCAGAAAGCGCAACGAGACTGCTGACAACCTTCGGGATAGGTGTGGCACACAAACCGACAAAATCACTACAATCAACCCTATGCAAACCAAAGGATGAAATAACAAAGGAAAACAAATCAAACATCATCTACAAAATAAATTGTACCAACTGCGACAAACACAACATCGGACAAAGCGGATGCCTCTTCACCTTCGCCTATATGAACATCAATTAGAAGTCAAACGCCATGATACTTCCTCACTTATATCAATACACATGGACAACTGCGGACACTCATTCGACTGGAAATTTTGGACAGAGGAAATTCCAAAAACACCAGAGAATTTTAAGAAGCCTGGCACTCAGGTCAATCAGCAATCAACAAGCACATTGAAATTGATCCAATTTATCAACCAATGTGCTGTTAGATTAGAAAGTTCCATCAAAGTGAGAAGAAATCGACGTGAGAAACGATGTCTTTTCGTCATCTCCGCCTATGCCCCGACAGATTGCAGCCCGGATGCAATCAAGGATGAGTTTTACCACCAGTTATCAGTTCTTCTCCAGAAAGTGCGTTCGACAGATATTGTAGTACTAGCCGGAGACTTGAATGCTCAGGTCGGGCGTCTAGGCACAGAAGAGTCGTCTAGGTGGCCGATGAGGACTCGTTGGTCGCAGGTCAGATAATGGGGACCGTCTACTGCAACTTTGCACAGACCACAACCTGTTTCTGGCTAGCACTAACTTTCGGCACAGTCATCGCCGATGTGCCACCTGGCGTCCTCCCTCTGCATCTCAAGCCTGGACTCAGATTGATCACATCGCGATCAGCTACCGCTGGCGTGGTTGTGTACAAGACTGCCGCTCCTTTTGGAGTACCTATCTGGACTCTGACCATGCCTTGGTCTGCGCCAATCTTACCTTACTTTTCAGTGGACAACGAAGTGAACGCCATCAACGGATTGATGTTAGCAAGCTGGTTGCAACTTCTGTTGCAAGTAAGTATCGAACCGAGCTAGCCTCTAGGCTAGCTACCACTCCACCGAAAAGTATAGATGAGCATTGGTTGCAATTGCATGACGCCATGAAAATGGCGGGAACAGTCAGTTGTGGGTTTGCGAAACGTCCTGCTTTTAAGCACTGGGTTTCTTCTGGTTCCTTACAACTCATTGAAGCCCGTCGGTCTACTCCGGGTAACCGTGAGTTTGACCATAAACGAAGGATTTTACGTAAGGAAATCGGGCAAAGCTTGCGTAAGGACCGAGAAGCCTGGTGGTCGATGCGTGCTAATGAGCTGGAAGCAGCAGCTGCATCTGGTAACTACCGGAAGCTCTTCCAACTCATCCGAGCCACTGGCAGCAAGAAGTCTGGTGTGAGTGAAACAATCTGCGAGGATGATGGGATGCCAATCACTAACATCCATCGACGTCTTGGACGATGGGCAGAATTTTTCGAAGGGCAGTTCAACTGGCCTGCTGCTCCGGCAACATCGGTCAGACTGTCCTGCCCTCCATGGCCGGTGACGACTGATCCACCAAATGAGGAGGAAGTCCGCAAGGAACTCCAACTCTTGAAGCGTTACAAATCACCTGGCCCAGATGACTTACCTCCGGCTCTTTTTAAAGATGGTGGTGACTTTTTGACTAAGGAATTGACGACGTTGTTTACAAAGGTTTGGGAACTAGAGAGTGTACCAACGTCATGGAATGAGTCGATAGTTGTCCCTATCTTTAAAAAGGGTTCACGTCGTTCTTGTAACAACTATCGGGGGATAAGTTTACTTCCGATTGCGTCCAAGCTATTGGCTTCCGTCATTCTTCGTAGGTTGTTCAAAACCCGAGAAAGATTGACTCGCGAGGAGCAGGCTGGGTTTCGTTCTGGTCGAGGATGTATTGATCATATCTTCACCCTCCGCCAAATGTTAGAACACCGCCATACTTTTCAAAGGCCAACAATCGTAGTGTTTCTTGACATCAGGGCTGCCTTCGATTCGTTGGATAGGACTGTTCTCTGGGATTGTCTATTGAAGAAGGGTGTGCCTGAGAAGTTTATTAACATCCTAAAAGCCCTGTATAAAAACACCTCAGGCAGAGTGAGGGCATACAACCACCTCTCTCCATTGTTCCATTCGAGCAGTGGGGTTAGGCAGGGTTGCCCAATCTCACCATTCCTCTTCAACTTTGCCATCGATGACATTCTGGAAACAGCTCTGATGAATGTAATTAATGGTGGTGTGGATCTGTTGCCTGGAGAAAGACTTCTCGACCTTGAGTATGCGGACGATATTGTCTTACTGTGCGATAATGCCCAAGGCATGCAATCCGCACTTAATCAGTTGGCAATTAATGTCCGTAGGTATGGTATGTGCTTTGCACCTTCGAAGTGCAAAGTACTTCTACAAGACTGGCAGGATTCTAATCCTGTACTCACCCTGGACGGTGAGCAGATAGACGTAGTCGAGAAGTTCGTGTATCTGGGTAGCTGCATAAGTGCTGGTGGGGGTGTGAGTGATGAGATCAATGCACGAATAGTGAAAGCCAGAGCGGCTTATGCCAATCTGGGCCACCTTTGGCGCCTTCGTGATGTTAGTCTGGCTGTAAAAGGCCGGATCTACAACGCGTCGGTGAGAGCAGTTTTGCTCTATGCTTGTGAAACCTGGCCTCTCCGAGTTGAGGACGTCAGACGACTCTCTGTGTTCGATCATCGCTGTCTCCGAAGGATTGCTGACATTCAGTGGCAACACCATGTCAGTAATGCAGAGGTTCGGCATCGTGTGTTCGGGCACAGAGATGATAACTCAATTGGTGTCACCATCTTGAAACACCGACTTCGGTGGCTTGGACATGTTCTACAAATGTCGTCCCAGAGAATTCCACGTCGTGCATTATTTGCCGACTCTGGGACTGGTTGGAAGAAGCGGAGAGGTGGTCAGTGCATGACATGGTGTCGTGGCATGAAAGAAAGCTGCAAAGGACTGGCTTGTGTTGGTCCTTCACGACTCCCTGGTAGGGGTCCGAGAGATGGTACAACACAGTGGCTAGAGACGTTATCAGATATGGCTCAGAATAGAAGCCAGTGGCGATCCTGCTGTAACCTTCTTTTACTTTCTTCATAAAAAGTGGTTGTGTCTCCTTTACCTGAAAGATTTCTTCTGATTGTACCTCTTCGTCATTACTCTCTCTTTCTTTTGCGTTCCTTAGTTTTTTTTTCTTTCTACTTCTCTTCGAATTCCCATTGTTTTGTGTGGCGCATATATATTGGCGCTCTCTTGTACCAATATTTATGTGTTCAAATAAATAAATAATCAACCAATCAGGAAAATTATGCACAAATATAGGAACAAAAATCAAACCAATGGGAGACAACCAAAACAAAGAAATAAACAATGAGAAATTTAAGGTCAATAAGAACCAATCAACATCGAGGTGTACAGAACAAGCTGTGAAACGCATATGGAGAAATTCGAACACTGCACTTCTATCTGAAGTTTGTACTGATGATGTCGTTCAGAAGAACGAGGAAAGCTCCACGACCAAACCATCCAGCTCAGAGAACAAAACTCTATTAAAATCCTGGTGGTGAGGATACTACCGCAAAGAGAATAACTAAGTTAGTTGATAAAATCGTAAAACTACAGTGTTAAGGAATTATACCAAACTACCATGAAGTTTCATGAAATAAAATAATAACAGTAGTTGAAGTGCACATATTTAGAATGCCAAAATATTCACAAAGTTTATGATTGTTGATTTCATCCTTAGAAAATGTAGAAAACATTTTTTTTAGGTTCATTGGTTGTTGAAAAGTAGTTAAAGGATAGTGTAGTAAGTGTGAGATGTATTCGCTTGCTATTCATTATTTTATAGCCCTAAATTTGTTTATCATTTTATTTTAATAATTTAACTTTCCTTGCTTCGTTTCAATTAATTTTTTCCCCTGTTTTGACAAAATCTGAACAAGCTTCACTTAATGTTAGATATTAAAAACTTCTAAGTTAATTCACCTGTTACTACTTAATTAGAAAAACAGTATACTTCTTTATAAAGCAAACATTTTGTGAAATGAAATATTAGTTTTTATCCTTCAGAAATTTATTTCATTGTACAGAACTTCATTTCTTATCTACTTTACTTTCAATAAATAACATAAATACAGTGCCTTGACCTTGAACAATTCACATTTGGTGCTAATTCGAAACAAGCAAAGAGAACTAAAGATATTTTGAATGCATTATCAAGGTTAGCCAGAACTAAATTTTATGAAATTAGTCATATTTTCATTTTATAATTAGTTTATTAATGAGCTATCTGATTCATTTTTTTCATAGTGTGTTTTATAGATAAGTAATTGCAAGTCATTTATCAAGAAATCAAACAATTGAATGAAACTCCTTAATAGTCAGGGTGTAATTAGAATACGAATAAAGTGTCGGAAAAATAATAGAGGACCTATCCACTTGATCAATTATAAGAGAATAAAACATCTAGAAAAAATTCACATAATGAAGAGGTATATGAAAGTCGTGATTAAACTAAGTGATTAAATATCCCCGACCGTAGCACACGAGACCAAGTTGGTCACACTCAAAATCCGACTGATTAAATATCCCACAAAAGACCATAACTGAAAATCAAGTTGGTATTTATAAATTGTCTAGATTCAAAACACTTAAGCTTTATCTCACGATGTCTATTGAATGCATATTATCCTATTTGAAATAAGATATGTTATATTTTACTGATTAATATCCATATTGATCACAACTTGCGTAAGATATAATATTTCTAAGCAATGGCTTGAATATATTACTTTAATCTTAACTAAACATATTCAGCTCTACAGGTAAGGTTCACATAAAAAACATTTCAAATGAAATTTAATGAATCAAGTCATATTGTCTACAACACTAGACTATATAGATAGACTACATAGACTATAGATATATAATTTCTAATAAATTGGACATTGAGTAGATTGTTATAAATAAATAAATAAAATTGTATTATCTCAAGTTTAAACTTAGATTAATTTTAATTTGGTTATTTATTCTCTGAAGAAGTGGTTTACACCAAGTCACGAAACGTCAGAAAATCTAATTTTTCTACTTATTAGGATACTACATATATATTAATATATTTACACTAGACTATAATTCATGTATAACATAGTTTTGAGATTATATAAGAGTTTTTTCAGTATATTACTGACAGTAAGATATAATTAAAATAATCATTTATCAATCTGTAATTATCTTTTTTGTTTGTTTATCTTTTCTCGGTCATTTAAAAAAAATAAATAAATAATTTGCATTCTCATTATTTGCTTATTTATAGTTACAAGAAAACTGGAAATAAAATCAATTAAATCTAATCAAACTGATATATCTGCAAATGAATAATTATTTCTCAATAGTAAACTTATCTCTGAAGAAGTGGCCTACACTAAGTCACGAAACATCAGAAAATCTAATTTTTCTACTCATTGGGATATTACAAATAGATTAATATATTTATAACTATCTACTCAGTGCTCAATTTATTCGAAATTATCAAGTCAAACATTGGTAATGATACATGTCTGTATATCTGTTTCTGATCCTATATATATATATATAAAATAGTTAAAAGAATTCTGTCATAATACTATTATTTAGTTTTTTCTAAATATAATCGATAGAAATGTAGAAAGTGAACTAAGATGGTGGTTGGTGGTAGTCAACAGGAAACCCTACACCTAGGTTTTGTGTTACTTGACACTTGTCAGCAAAGTGTACTTGTAATCTTGAGGGAACTGATTCTCTCTGATGGATTCGATCTCGTGTCACCCAGCTTTATAGTGAACTATTTTTACTTAAAATTAACAAACATCAGTACATACTTGATCACTATTCTTATGTTCATACCTTATTTTAAGTGAACATATCTTATTGGAGAACAGAATTACTAAGTTATTAAATGAATTATTTATAATGCTCAGTTTGTGTTAAATTTGAACTCAAAGCATCAATCGTGCTGAATTTCAAGCCAGTGTTTTAATCCTTAATAATAATGAAGCTCAAACATTGAACGATTAAGATGTCAATAAGAAACTTTCATTTTTGCATCAAAATTATTTGAGGCATTATGAAGTAGCTGATCTAATTTAATTTGTCTGTTACAGGATTTTGACATTATTGTGGGTTTAAATACACTCAGGCACAATACTCACGGAAAAATAGTTCTTCACAATGTTAATATCATATGGCACCACTGAAATTAGGATACCTGACATAGCTTTTGGTAGAATTTATCAGTTACTGTCTAAATACTAAATAAAAAGCTACAGGTTACAAAGATGAGCATTTAAGCTAAGTAGCGACTATTATTCCGTAGACAAAAATGTCTAGCGCACCAAGAGAGGAAAATGCTACTACAAACACCATTCTCAGTAATAGGTTTTCTGCAGTTTTGACTACGTTCAAACTAAACGTACAACTTGAAGATGTGCGTTTCCTATAGTTCATTGTTATGGAAAAGGTAATTTTGCTACGAATTGTTGGCATTTAGATCCATTTTAAAACAACAACGATCGATGATATCATTTTGTCAATAAGTAATATTGTTGGACTTCAGATGTCAGGGTGTATGGGGTGGAAGTATAAAAGACTTTTCAATTATGATGAGCTTGGTGTGAATATTAAATTTATATTACCGTAATACTATTTTTATTCATGTAATCCGCCACCTTCCGAACGTCTTCAGCACTGCTTACCAGTTACTTTACTTGCCGTAACAATCCGAAGAAGCGATTGGTTGACATGAGATAAAACAGATTTATATCAGGTGCAACTCTTCATTAGTTCAGTTGTTATTCTGTATGTATCTACAAACCATGTTAATCTTTAGCACCGTAACACGACGAGTAGTCTTTTCAAATTTAGGAATATTTATTAACTGAGCATGCCTTACTCGATTAACCTTTAAATACATTTGAAGTCGATATTCAAAAGAGTATTAATAACTGTTAGACATTCATTTAAACAATAGTTCTAAGTTGTCGAGACCAATTTTTCTGTCGACAATCATTTTTTTAACAAGATTCACAAGAGATCAATACACCATACTTTCTACTTTAGTATAAAAGTTTCATACCATCAGAAATTCTGTTAGTAGTATCTTTTTTACAGCAATAGTCTGGTAACAGGTCTGCTGAATGGTGAATTAAGGCAAAAATATCTGTGAGTGGGTTAATACATTCACTGAAAGTATAAACATGAGCTTCTCTTAACACTAAAATTATTAAAAATGGTAGTTGAAATGTGTTATAATCTTCACAAATGTAGATAGGATTAAAATTATGTTTGTTTCTCATATTACGAGAAAAACTAACTTAAATCTTTATTCTCAATTTACTACTAAGTTAATATCAGCTTGAGATCCAGCTGAAACGGCTTAGCACTGAACAAATCCTCGTTCTTTATTGACTTTTGGTGATTAAATGAAAGTACTGACCTACACAGAGCCGAACTTAAAACACCTATGTCTTAAGTGTTTTGATGACCACAACAAACTGATCATTTGCGAAAAAATAGGTTTTGTGGCTTCATTCAGTATAGCTTGGATGGCATATATGATAACGGGTGGTTAATCGTTTCACCCCAAATTCAAATGACGTCCGCGCTTATTGCTTTCCATTTCCATTTTAGAGGCTACTTATTAATAAACAGTAGATAATTTTTGACATGGATTTACCAAAAGAATACAATATTTGTTATAGGCTAATTGCTCCCAAATGCCCTGGTACGGCAGAGATTGTGGAGTGTTAGCTCTCCTTCTCGAAATGCTCTCAAGTGGCCACGTGCATACAACCACTGCCAGGGGAATCCTACTCACTCTCCTTTTTACTCGATCTTGTGATCGACAGTGACCCTAAAAGAGCTACAGGCGAAATTATCTATTGATGACAGTTCGGCTGAATTTCGATCAGTTAGGATTTGTGAGTCCTGTTAGGATTACCTCGATATAGCCATTATGTTGCAAGTCTTTTTAATAGAATAGATAGAATGTGGTTAGCAGTGAAAAGTAGTACTCGTGTTTCAATCGATTTGATAATGCTTTTATAACAGATACAGCACAAACGGAATTAAAACTCACACCCCGTTGCGCAAGCGAGTAACTACCTAAACTCAGCAGCTGAATGAATAAAACGTTAAACATTTGAAGCCGAAGGCACTGAGTCGGAATTTCGGAGTGATTATAAACTCTAGGACCCATCTGACGGGTGACTATTAAATCAGAACGGCCATCCCGTATTCCACTGCTAACTACATTCCACTCATTCTTTTGAACCAAACGTAAATGAATTAGTAATCTTGTAATCCACATGTATTGTGGAGAAATCGGCATGCTAATATAAGAGCGATTAAGATCACTTGTAACCGAAGTAATCTGTGTTAATTTAAGTCACTTTTGTACATTTCCGAAGATTCCTTTCAGAGCTAAGAATATCCAATAACTCTGTGTTTCAGTCATTAATTACCTAGGAGTATTGGCGCTCGATAACAGTATTTTGTAGTTAATACATGGGTACAATAGCGTATAATTAGCTAAAACATATATCACATGTTATGTGGAGTATTAAAACTGTGAAGCGGAGGCTGTGATGACTTACCTCATTTTACTTCTTTCATCCAAGCTTGTTCTTATCCAAATATTATTTACCGACGTTGGGATTTTTTCGAACAAGGACATAGATGAACTGCTAACGGTATGGCTCACTAGAACAGAAGATGTTTAGTTTATAATCATATTTTGTTGATCAGTAACTTAAGATACAATTTGGAATGAAAGTCGATGCCAAATCTAATTTAGTTTTATATTCCATAACTAAAAATCTGTATGACCAGATTCTTGCATAGTCTTATAACACTAACATCTATTATTCTTTGTTGTTTTCTGTATGATTTTCTAGTTTAAACTTTTCTAGAAACCATCATTTTGTTTTGCATGAATAATTTGGTATTTCTGTGGTGTAATAAGAATTACTCTTTACATTATTCAATAATTAAAATACAAAGAATGTATAATGTTCTTGTCAGTTTTTGTATATAATGAAGGCAAGATATTAAAAAGCCATCAGTTCAACAAAAGGGTTATAGAGTTATTTATTTGATGTTAAAAAAGATATTCAAATTTATCAGTGAAAAGGTTTGTCATGATAGTAACTTTTATGATGAGGCTATATTTTTATTTAAACACATTAACATTGGTACAAGGAGGCATCAAACAGATATGCGCCACACAAATCATTCGATCTGTGTGAGAGCTGGGATACTGCCCGGGTGCCCAAACCGAAGCAGGTGGTTTTCTTAAGAGGCCACACCCCGAGCCTTTGATCTAAAAGTCTAATGCACAAGGCAGTGGAGCATCGTAAGGAGATGCAGTCCCATGGTAGTCGGTGACTAAAAATAGGTTCATACGCAGAAGCCTCTACATCAGTAGGTCTCAACAAACACGTGGAAACTTGAACGTACGTGAACTGCATCATCGATGAACACGGAAGATATGATACAGACATAGAGATGAGCATTGGCAAAGCAAAGACAACACTCATACAGTTGAACAACATATGCAACTCAACACAATTGTCCGCAAGCCAACATCAAACTGAGAATTTCCAATACGAACGTCAAGACAGTTCTACTGTACGGAAATCAAACTTCCACAACTATAAAAACCATAACCAAAATATGACAAGTACTTATAAATAATTGTCTACACAAAATACCTAATATCCGTTGACAGGATATCATCAGCGACAACTTACTGTGGGAGAGAGGAAATTATGGAGAGACGTTGGAAGTGGATAGTACACACATTACGGAAATCACCGAGCTGTATCACGTGATAAGCGCCAACTAGGAATCGTGAAGGCAAAAGCAGAAGAGGAAGGCCAAAGAAAACACTGCGTCGAGGTGATATGAGAAGGATGAATAGAAGCTAGAAACAATTGTAAAGAATTGTCTTGGACAGAGTTGGATGGAGAATGCTGGTGGGCGGCCTATGCTCCTCAACAAGTGGTAGTAGGCGTAAGTAAGTAAGTATCATCAGTGGATAACTTAAACTAACGAAACTTGAATTATCCAAGTTACATTCGCTTAAAAAAAGATTTCCGATTGCATAATTGATGTCTTTATCAATACACAGTTTAGTGCGTACAAATGATTTATACTATAAAATATATATTGCTCTCAATGCGTAATGAATAGATGTGAAAAGTCAATAAACTCACTACATACCATGAACAATAACATCGATATTCCAAGAGTTGACATCTTTCCAAACAAGTGTTAAAAAGATTTTATACGTAATCTTATTGATCATAAC